TGCCTCCTGGGCCGGAGACACCTCCCCGTCCTGCTCCTCGCTGGCTGGCCCCACCTCGGCGCCCGCCACACTCAGCACGGCCTTGCGCTCGCGCCGCTTGCGGGCGCTCAGGTTCATGTCGCTGATGCTGCGGCGTAGGGACAGGTTGTCGGCCCGCTCCTTGGGTGCTGGGCCCCCCGAGGCCGCCCGTGAGCGGCTCTTCTGCAGCCGCCGCGCCTGGGCGTTGATGCCTGGAGCGCGAGAAGGGGGGGCCTCAGAGGGGGCTGGCTGGTTCTCCAATCCGGGAGTTTCAGAGACCCGCAGCCCGGTTCCCTGCCCTGGGGGTTTCAGGGATTCTCCCCCTGCAGCTCCAAGCCAGGACTTAACTGGGGGGCCCCATGGCTCCGAATTTGGGGACAACAGAGGGTCCCGTGGCTCCTGGGTGCAGGAATATGGGGGGGGGCACGTCTCCGAGCCAGGAGATGACTGGGGAACCCCATAGCTTCTGGCTGGGAGATGACCAGAGGTCCTGTGGCTCCTGGCCTGGGATGACCCGTTGGTCCCGTGACTCCCAGCCTGGCATGCCCAGGGGTCCCGTGACTCCCAGCATGGGATGACCTGGGGGGTCCCGTGGCTCCCGGCCTGGGACGACCTGGGGGTCCCGTAGCTCCCGGCTTGGGACGACCTGGGGGTCCCGTGGCTCCCGGCCTGGGACGACCTGGGGGTCCCGTGGCTCCTGGCCTGGGATGACCTGGGGGTCCCGTGGCTCCTGGCCTGGGACGACCCAGGGGACGGGGGCAGCCCCCCTGCAGCCTCACCTGCCGTCTCGTTATCCTCGGCCTCGCCAACCCGCTCCACCTCACACCGGCGCCGCACCTCGAAGCGCCGCGACAGGCCGGCCTTGGGCTTCCACACGTCCTGCAGCACCAGGGGCCGCTCGGTGTCACCCACGGGGCGCAGGTGCTCGGCCTGCCAGGCCCCGCCGGGCCCCTCGAAGCGGCCCACCACGTCGCACAGCACGTAGCCCCCCCCCTCCTCCTCCGGCGCCACCCCATAGCGCTCCAGTGCCTCCCGCACCAGCTGGCGCGCCGTGGAGCGTGGCGTGGCCAGCACGCTCTTGTAGTTGGCCCCCCGGGAGATGGCTCCCCCGAAGATCTTCAGGATGCCTGGGAGCTGGGGCTGGCTGGACAGCTCCACCAGGTCCTCGGGCACCGGGTCGATGAGATCCGCCAGCTTCTTCTCGCTGCCCCAGCGCCCGCCCCCCACGCCCGCCCCACTGCTGGGGCTGCGGTGGAACAGGTTGGAGAGGCGCTTGTGGCGGCCCGCCTTCGCCTTGCTGGGGGGTCGCAGCTCCACCGTCTCGCTGCCCCGGCTGGCCGTGTCCGAGGAGGTGGACCTGGGGAGGGAAGGCGGGAGGCCAGGCTAGATGGGCCTGTTGCTCTGAGAGGAGAGGGGAGGCCGGGAGTGTGGGCTGGAGGGGTCCGTGGGGCTGGCCTCGGTAGCAGGGAGGGGGCGATACTGGGGGAGATGGGGCCATGGACTGACTGGGGGAGAGGAAGGAGGTAAGATATTGAGATAGATGGGCCTGTGGGTCTGATCTGGGGGCAGGAGGGTGCGGGATACCAGGGCAGACGGGCCCGTGGGTCTGATCCAGGGGGCAGAATATTGGGGTAGCAGAGCTGTGAGGCGCTCCAGGGGGCAGGAGGGAGGGGCGTTCCAGGGGGCAGGAGGCAGGGGACCGGTACCTGACAGAGCCCACGCTGGGCCAGCGGCGGCTCATCTTGACGAAGTGTTTCTTGGGCGAGTTGATCCACAGCCCGACGGGGAAGTGGAGTTTCCCAAAGCGGGGGCTGCCCTCCTTCCGCTCCTCTGAGAACATGGTGCCGGGGGCACCGGGCACCTGGGGGGACACGGCCATGGCAGAGCGCTGGCGGGAGTGGGGCAGTCGTGCCAGGGGCAGGGGCTCAGCCAGACAGCGTGGGAGCCGGCAGCCAGACCCGGCAGAGGGCGCTGGTGAGGGGCCAGGAGGTTGCAGGATGCGGGGGGAGGGGGGAAGAGGTTGCGGGCTGGGATGTTGGGATGAGTGGGGGATGGAGGGAGGTTGGGGGCCGGGATGCTGGGGCAAGTGGGGGACGGGGGTAGATTGGGGGCCGGGATGTTGGGGTGAGTGGGAGATTGGGGTAGGTTGGGGGCCAGGAGGCTGCAGGCTGCGGGGGAAGGTAGGATGGGGGCCAGGATGTTGGGGTGAGTGGGGGCAAGGGGTGGGTTGGGACCTGAGACGTTGGGGTGGATGGGGGTAGGTTGGGGCTGGGATGTTGGGGTGAGGGGGGATTGGGTGAGTGCTGAGGGACGGGATGTTGGGGCAAGTGGGGGATGGGGGTAGGTTGGGGGCCGGGATGTTGGGGTGAAGGAGGATGGGGGTAGGGATGTTGGGGTGGGTTGGGGGCAGGATGTTGCGGTGACTGGGGAATGGGGGTATGTTGAGTGCCAGGATGCTGGGGTGAGTGTGGGATGGGGGGTAGGATGGGGGTCGGGATGTTGGGGTGGGTGGGGGATGGGAGGTAGGTTGGGGGCTAGGATGTTGGGGTGAGGGGGGGATTGGGTGTGTGCTGAGGGACGGGATGTTGGGGTGAGTGGGGGATGGGGGTACATTGGGGTCAGGATGTTGGGGCGAGTGGGGGATGGGGTTAGGTTGGGGGTCAGGATGTTGGGGTGAAGGGGGATGGGGGTACGTTGGGTGCCGGGATGTTGGGGTGAGCGGGGGATGGTGGTAGGTTGGGGGCCAGGATGTTGCAGTGAGTGGGGGTTGGGGGTGGGTTGGAGGCCGGGATGTTGGGGTGAAGGGGGATGGGGGTACATTGGGGGTCGAGATGTTGGGGTGAGTGGGGGATGAGGGTAGGATGGGGGCCAGGATGTTGGGGCGAGTGGGGATGGGGGTAGGTTGGGGGCCAGGATGTTGGGGTGAAGAGGGATGGGGGGTACATTGGGGGTCGGGATGTTGGGGTGAGTGGGGGGTGAGGGTAGGTTGTGGGCCGGGGTGTTGGGGCGAGTGAGGGATGGGGTTAGGTTGGGGGCCAGGATGTTGGGGTGAAGGGGGATGGGGGTAGGTTGGGGCTGGGATGCTGGGGTGAGTGGGGGATGGGGTGTTGGGGTGAGTCAGGGATGGGGGTGGGTGAGGGGCTGGGATGTTGGGGTGAGCAGGGGATGGGGGTAGGTTGGGGGATGGGGTGTTGGGGTGAGTCAGAGATGGGGGTGGGTTAGGGGCTGGGAGGTTGGGGTGAGTGGGGGATGCGGTGTTGGGGTGAGTCGGGGTTGGGGGGTAGGTTGGGGGCCGGGATGTTGGGGGCCAGGTCTGGTCCTGCCAGTGCACAGCTAGTGGCTTCCACCGAGTTAGATCCAGCTGCAAGCCCCCCTTCCACTCCGCCCCGGAGCCAGCTGCATCGGGGCGGGGGATCCATGGAGGTGGAGGGACCCCAGGGCCATCCTGGGCTGTCTTTCGAGGCCCTTTATTGGTTCAAATGCTTCCCCCTCCCCAGGGTGAGATTCAGAGGGGACAAAGGCGCCACATCGGGGAGACCCCGATGCCCCAAAGCTGTAAGGAGCCTGGCTGGGATACCAGGACTCCTGGGTTCTGTCCCGCAGTCTGGGAGGGGGTGGGAGCTAGTGGTTAGAGCGGGGGCAGGGGCTGAGGGCCAGGACTCCTGGGTTCTATCTGAGCTCTGGAGCCCACAATTACCTCCACTTTGCCCCTCCCCCCGGCTAGCTGGCTGCCCCCCAATCACCCCAATTTCTCCTTCCCCCCTGGGCTGCCCTCCCGAATTACCCCCACTTCACCCCTACCCCAAAGCCGTAAGGAGCCTGGCTGGGCTACCAGGACTCCTGGGTTCTGTCCCCCCCTCTGGTTGGGGAGTGGGGGCTAGTAATTACAGCGGGGGGGGGAGGCTGCCCCCTATCACCCCACTCCCCCCCAGATGGCTGCCCCCAATCACCCCACTTCCCACCCCGGCTGGCTGCTCCTGATCTCCCCACTCCCCCCCCACGGTGGTCCCCGATCATCCCACTCCCCACCCCCCGCTGACTGGCCCCCGATCACCTCACTCTGCCCCTCCCCCCGGCTGCCCCCCAATCACCCCTCTCCCCCCCAGCTGCGCTGCACCAGAGAAAAGCGGGGGAGGGGGTTTACCCAGTCCCGTCGGGGCGCCGGACGTCTCCTCTCCCGGGCTCCGCTCCCGCGCTCAGCTCCAGCCTGGGGGCTGCCCCGCCCGCCCCATGGCCCCTCGGTGGGGCGCGACCCCCAGCCCAGCCCCAGCTCTGCAGCCAGCCCGCTGCCAGTCGGGGCTGGAGTCACTGAGCGCAGATTTCCCCGGCCCCCGCCCGGCTGGAGCGGGGGGGCAGGAAAAGGAGCCGGGCCAGGAAGCGGGGCCCCTCCGACGGGGCGGGGGACACGGAGCTGGGGGGCGGGGAGGGGCAGAGCAAAGGGGGGGCGGGGCCACAAGCGAGAGGGAGCGGTGGGGGGGAAAGGGTGCAAAGTGGGAGGCAAGAGGGCGGGATGTGGGGGCAGTGAGTGGGGGAGGGGCGGGATTTCTGGGGGCAGCATGGGGGGAGGGGGTGCGATGGGGAGGCATGAGTGGGGGAGGGGCACAATGTGGGGGGCTGTGAGTGGGGGAGCACTGTATGCTGGGGCAGGGGATGCGAGGGGGCGGCAGGGGGTAGAGTGGGGGCAGGGGCACGAGGGGGGATGCAATGTGTGAGGGGGTGGGGAGGCATGAGTGGGAAGGGGTACAACGGGGGGACCGTGAGTGGGGGAGGGAGTGTGGTGTGGGGGAGGGGGCAGTGAGTCTATGGGGGATGGGGCACTGGGAAGCACAGTGGGGGGCAGGGGTATGATATGGGGAGCAGTGAATGGGAAAGGGGCACCGTTGGGGGGCAGTGGGTGTGGGGGAGGGGCATGAGGTGGGAGGGGAGGACACAGGATGTGGGGGTAGTGGGTGGGAGGGAGAGGGCAGTGTCTGGGGCACAGCGCAGTGGGGGGACAGTGGGGGATGAAAGGGGGAGCAGGAAGGGTGAGGGCAGTGTGTGTGTATGGAGAGGGACGCAGTGTGAGGGGGCAGGGAGGGGGTGCACTGGGACTGGCCCAGCCTGCACTGCCCCGCGTGCCCACTAGGGCTTTCTGGGCCCAAACCCAGAGCTAGCGGGGGATCACCTCGGAGGGAGCGCTATGGGGACTAGAACACTTGGACTCCAGGGCCAAGTTATGGAACAAGCAGGTTTATTGTGGGGCTCTGAGATGCCAGCGGGGAGAGTCACTACAGGGTGTGCTGCAGTGGGCAGGACCACGCCATGGGGCAGGGCTTGTGGGTCTGCCTCCCCCCCCAGCAACAGCTGGGCCTAGATCCTGCCAGCGAAGGTGCCGTCGTCCCGCTGCTCATCCCAGCGCTTCACCTGGGGGGAGGGAAACGGGGTTAGGGGTGGGGGCCACATCCAGAGGGGCAGCTCCACACAGAGCAGGTCTCAGCCCTCCCAGCAGGGGGCAGCAGGGCCCCCCACCCCCACGCACAGAGCAGGGCCCAGCCCCCCTCCCAGCAGGGGGTGGGGAATGAGGCAGGGGGGCTTTCCCCTGGGAGGTACCGGCTCCCATCCAGCCCCAGAGCAGGGCACTGGCTGGCTCAGGAGGGTAGGGAATAGGGCATGCGACCTTTTCCCCTCCTCTCCCACTGAGTGCAGAGTGGGGGGGTACCCCCGGGGTCCTGGCACCCCACATACCCAGGAGATGGGGCACAGGGACTTGTAGACCCGGTAGTACCACTGGCATGGCTTGATGTCTTTTCCCTTCGCCCCCAGTGTCTTCAGGCAGCGGTAATAGTCTGCAGGAAGACAGCACGCATTACCCTCTGCCACCACAAGGAGGCACCAGTGACCCAACCCTGCCACCCTTCCCCTCACAGCCAAACTCCTGCCCCCAACTACTAGACCCCACTCCCCTCCCAGAGCCAGGGAGAGAACCCAGGAATCCTGGCTCCTAGTTTCCCCCCCCTCCTCCCGAGGGCCCTCTGCCACTCACCCAGGTAGTTCTGGTAGCAGTTGCGGGTCTGGTTGGTGTTGGGGAAGCGGGGGTCGAAGGGGGCAGTGCGGTAATACCCCCGGGACCCCTGGGGGGCGCCCTTCTCCCCCCCGCCAGCTCCATAAGAGCTTTGCATTCCTGAAAAAGTAGGCATGTGAAAGTGGAGACTCACTCCCCTCTCAGAGCCAGGTAGAACCCAGGAGTCCTGGCTCCTGGCCCCCCCGGTCTAACTACTAGATCCCACTCCCCTCCCAGAGCCAGAAAGAGAACCCAGGAGTCCTGGCTCCCAGCCCCCCTGCTCTAACCACTAGACCCTCCCTCCCTTCCCCTCCCCTCCCAGAGCCGGGGAGAGAACCCAGGAGTCCTGGCTCCCAGCCCTGCTCCCCGAGCTCTGGCTGCTGGCCCCCACTCCCCTCCCAAAGCTGCGGCTCACCTGTGTCTCACCCCCAATGCCCCAAGCTAGTAAATTCAGTTGCTTTGCACTTCTAAAGGGAGAAAGAATAAAATGGGGGGGGTGACCTTTCCCTCTGCCCCCAGGGGTGCTCCTGAGATCTGTCCCTGACCCCCCCGGCGTGCGCCCCCCCACTGCTCGATCCCTCCCTGACTCCCCAGCTGTCAGGATCCCCCCACGACTAGTCCCTGGCCTGCACTCCCCACCCCCAGCCTGCACTCCCCTCGCTGCCCCACCCCCTGCTGCTGGGCTCCCTGTGCCGCCCCCCCCCCGCTGCCAGGATCCTTCCCTGAACCCCCAGCCTGCACTCCCCTCGTCACCCCCCTACCTGCTGCCAGAATCCCGCCCTGACCCTCCCAGCCTGTGCTCCCCTCGCAGCCCCCCTACCTGCTGCCAGAATCCCTCCCTGACCCCCCCAGCCTGTGCTCCCCTCGCAGCCCCCCTACCTGCTGCCAGAATCCCTCCCTGACCCCCCCGCCAGCCTACATTCCCCTCGCCCACCCAGCCGCCAGCATCCTTCCCCAACCCCCTCAGCATCCTACCCCAACCCCCCCCAGCCTGCGCTTCCCTCGCTGTCCCCCTACCTGCTGCCAGAATCCCGCCCTGACCCCCCCAGCCTGCGCCCCCCTCGCTGCCCCCCTACCTGCTGCCAGAATCCCGCCCTGACCCCCCCAGCCTGCGCCCCCCTCGCTGCCCCCCTACCTGCTGCCAGAATCCCGCCCTGACCCCCCAGCCTGCGCCCCCTCGCTGCCCCCCTATCTGCTGCCAGAATCCCGCCGACCCCCCCAGCCTGCGCCCCCTCGCTACCCCCTACCTGCTGCCAGAATCCCGCCCTGACCCCCCCAGCCTGCGCCCCCTCGCCGCCCCCCTACCTGCTGCCAGAATCCCGCCCTGACCCCCCCAGCCTGCGCCCCCTCGCCGCCCCCCCTACCTGCTGCCAGAATCCCTCCCTGACCCCCCCCAGCCTGCGCCCCCTCGCTGCCCCCCCTATCTGCTGCCAGAATCCCGCCCTGACCCCCCCCAGCCTGCGCCCCCTCGCTGCCCCCCTACCTGCTGCCAGAATCCCTCCCTGACCCCCCCAGCCTGCGCCCCCTCGCTGCCCCCCTACCTGCTGCCAGAATCCCGCCCTGACCCCCCCAGCCTGCGCCCCCTCGCTGCCCCCCTATCTGCTGCCAGAATCCCGCCCTGACCCCCCCAGCCTGCGCCCCCTCACCGCCCCCCCGCAGCCACCAGCATCTTTCCCCCACCCCCCCCCAGCCCGCCTGCCCCTACCTCTGCCAGAATCCCCCTGACCCCCCCAGCCTGCGCCCCCTCACTGCCCCCCAGCTGCCAGGATCCCCCCTCCCCCTCCGCGCTCCCCTCACCGCCCGCACACCAGCACTTCCCCAACCCCCCCCAGCTGCCAGGATCCTTCCCCAACCCCTCCCCCCAGCCTGCGCTCCCTCGCCGCCCCCCCATACAGTGTGACCATGGGTTGGAACTGCTCCCCACAGACTCTGAGAGGGCAGGGGACTTAGTGTCCCCTGAGTTCCTATTGGCTGGAACCTTCCCCGCCATGGAAGGCTCTGGCCAATGGGAGCAAAGGGCGGGGCCTGGCCTCTCCCCACCGCATGTCAGTTAGGAGCAACTGCCACGGAACCTTCTAGAAATGTGCGGGGAGGGGAGGCCTTTCAGCCAATAAGAGCGTGGGGTTCCATGGTCCTGATTCCGCCCACCCCACCCCCCGAATGCCAAGCCCCCGAGCGTGTGTCCCCCACAGAGCCCACCCCCACATGCCGCCCCACAGAACCCTCCCACGCTGCTCTCTCCACCCCCCTAAAAGCCCCCCCCGAGCCAGTCCCCCCCTTCTGCTCCCCCCACCCTCCTGTATGCCCCCCCACAGAACCCTCCCATGCTGCTCTCCCCACCCCCCTGAACGCCCCCCCCCGGATCCCATCCTCCTCATGCTGCTCCCCCATCACCCTCCTGAATGCCCCCCCATAGTCCCCTCCCCCCTGCGTCCTCTGACACCTCCCCCGAACCCCCCCCGCACTCAGCCCCCTCCCTGCAGCCCAAGCCCCCTAGCGCCGCCCTAGGGCAGGGGTCCAGCCTTGAGCCTTGGTGGTCACTGGCTGCCGCAGCGGAGGGACAGTTGCACACACAACCCTGACCCAACGTTCACTGCAAAGTTTAATAGGCAAAGCTGGGAAAGGCGCGACACTCGCTGCCCTGTGCCCCTGGCCGGCCGGCCGCTGTGGGGCGTCCTAGCTGTTCCCTGCCCCGATCCCCTGGCCTGGGCCCTCCAGCCGTCCTGTCCCTGAGAGACTCCCGGGGGCCAGCGACGAATCCTCCCCTCCAGCTCGGGCTGTGTCCGGCCTGCGGGAAGAGAAACCGTCGTCATGTAGGGCAGAGAACGTACTGCTGGCCACTGCACCCCGCAGCATGGGACGCTGTGGGGTGCAGGGATTGCACTCGATCTGTACAGCGCCCGGCACGACCGGGGCCCTGATCTCAGTGTGTTGATGCACCACATCCAAGCTCACAGAGATGGAGCTATGCCTGCGCTTACCTGACCTCTACTGGGATTTCATTCTGTCTGCAGCCCGCTCACTGCCGCCTCTGTGGAGACAAACGCCCGCGCCGTGATCAGCTGGGACCGTCCTGGCCCCAATGTCATGATCAAAACACCTGATTCTGCACAAGAGTAAGTAGCCCTCCAACTGCCCTGCTCCGCAGAAAGGCAAGTCAAGAGAAGCTATTAAGCAGAACTCTCTGGTTAAAGTTGATCGGAAAATGGGGTGGATTTTCCATAGCAAATCACAACCGGCCCAATGATTTTCCATTTCCATCTAAATTTTGACTTTGGCTAAAAAAATCACCCAGGAAACTGGAAAGTCATGAAAAAATTGCCAGATAATACAAACAGCTGCAAAACAAGTGGCTAAGAAAAGGGTTAGTTGAAAATAATCGACCAAATTTGGGCTATAAAAATTGGCCAACCGTCCCCCCTCCCCAAGAAATGGCTGAAAAATTAAACAAATTTTGACTAGGGCTGTCAAGCAATTAAAAAAATTAATCGCGATTAATCGCACCATTAGAAAAATTAATCACAATTAATCGCACTGTTAACCAATAATAGAATACAATTTATTGACATATTTTTGGATGTTTTCTACATTTTCAAATATATTGATTTAAATGACAACACAAAATACAAAGTGTACAGTGCTCACTTTATATTTATTTTTTATTACAAAAATATTTGCATAGTAAAAAACAAAAAAAATAGTATTTTTCAATTCACCTAAGACAAGTACTGTAGTGCAATCTCTTTATCATGACAGTTGAACTTACAAATGTAGAATTATGCACACACAAAAAACTGCGTTCAAAAATAAAACAAGGTAAAACTTTAGCGCCTACAAGTCCACTCAGTCCTACTTCCTGTTCAGCCAATCACTCAGACAAACAAGTTTCCTTACATTTGCAGGAGATAATGCTGCCGGTTTCTTGTTTACAATGTCACCTGAAAGTCAGAACAGGCGTTCGCATGGCACTGTTGTAGCCGGCGTTGCAAGTTTTTTACGTGCCAGATACTCTAAAGATTCATATGTCCTTTCGTGCTTCAACCACCATTCCAGGGGACATGCGTCCATGCTGATGACGGGTTCTGCTCGATAACGATCCAAAGCAGAGCAGCTCGACACGTGTTCATTTTCATCATCTGAGTCAGATGCCACCAGCAGAAGGTTGATTTTCTTTTTTGGTGGTTTGGGTTCTGTAGTTTCCGCATTGGAGTGTTGCTCTTTTAAGCCTTCTGAAAGCATGCTCCACACCCCGTCCTGATCAGATTTTGGAAGGCACTTCAGCTTCTTAAACCTTGGGTCGAGTGCTGTAGCTACCTTTAGAAATCTCACATTGGTACCTTCTTTGCGTTTTGTGAAATCTGCAATGAAAGTGTTCTTAAAACGAACAGCATGTGCTGGGTCTTCATCCAAGACTGCTATAACATGAAATATATGGCAGAATGCGGGGAAAACAGAGCAGGGGACATACAATTCTCCCCCAAGGAGTTCAGTCACAAATTTAATTAATGCATTATTTTTTAACAAGCATCATCAGCATGGAAGCATGTCCTCTGGAATGGTAGCCGAAGCATGAAGGGGCATACAAATGTTACTTTAGAATATCTGGCAAGTAAATACCTTGTACCGCTGGCTACAAAAGTGCCATGCAAACGCCTGTTCTGACTTTCAGGTGAGATTTAAATAAGAAGCCAGCAGCATTATCTCCCGTAAACGTAAACAGACTTGTTTGTCTGAGCAATTGGCTGAACAAGAAGTAGGACTGAGTGGACTTGTAGGCTCTAAAGTTTTACATTGTTTTGGTTTTGTAACAGTTATGTAACAAACAAACAAAAATCTACATTTGTAAGTTTCACTTTCTGGATAAAGAGATTGCATCACGGTACTTGTATGAGGCGAATTGAAAAACCCTAATTTTTTTTATCATTTTTACAGTGGAAATATGTGTAATAAAAATAATAATATAAAGTCAGCACTGTGCACTTTGTGTTCTGTGTTGTCATTGAAACAAATATATTTGAAAATGTAGAAAACCATCCAAAAATAGTTAATACATTTCAGTTGGTATTTGATTGTTTAACAATACGATTAAAACGGCGACTGATTTTTTTAATCACGGTTCATTTTTGGAGTTAATCGCGTGAGTTAACTGCGATTAATCAACAGCCCTAATTTTGACCAAAAATTGGCAAGAAACAAACAAAATATTGTTTGAACAAAACATTTTTGCCAGAAACTGCTGAAATGCACAGCAAGGGGGAAGGGAACTGGCCTGAAAATGTGAAGAGAACGTGAACATTGGTGAGGCCTCATCTGGAGTACTGTGTCCAGTTTTGGGCCCCGCACTAAAAGAAGGATGTGGATAAATTGGAGAGAGTCCAGCGAAGGGCAACAAAAATGATTAGGGGTCTGGAACACATGACTTATGAGGAGAGGCTGAGAGAATTGGGATTGTTTAGTCTGCAGAAGAGAAGAATGAGGGGGGATTTGATAGCTGCTTTCAACTACCTGAGAGGTGGTTCCAGAGAGGATGGTTCTAGACTATTCTCAGTGGTAGAAGAGGACAGGACAAGGAGTAATGGTCTCAAGTTGCAGTGGGGGAGGTTTAGGTTGGATATTAGGAAAAACTTCTTCACTAGGAGGGTGGTGAAACACTGGAATGCATTACCTAGGGAGGTGGTAGAATCTCCTTCCTTAGAAGTTTTTAAGGTCAGGCTTGACAAAGCCCTGGCTGGGATGATTTAATTGGGGATTGATCCTGCTTTGAGCAGGGGGTTGGACTAGATGACCTCCTGAGGTCCCTTCCAACCCTGATATTCTATGATTAAGAGGGGAAAAGAAACGGCCGTGAGGGGGAAGGTCCCAGAACCCAGGCCCAAATGACTCCGCTGCGATTTTCTAGCCTGGCGGTCCAGGCCAGTTGACCCAGGCCAGGTGCAGGAGCTTGACCCAGTGGAGATGCCCCGCCAGGATCCTTCGCGGGCCTGTCTCATGAAAGGGGGATCCCAGACCGGCTGGCGGCAGAGGCAGGCCTGGGGCAAGAGGACCGAGACCGCTTGAGTCTAGTGTGGCGAAACCTGCCTAGATTGTGGCTCACGAGACGTAGGGCCAAACGCTGGAGGTTAATGCAGCGCAGGGAGTGGAGGGGGGCTGGTAAACTGGGGCACCCAGGGCCTGGAGGCTGCAGGGGGACCCTCGAGTGTTGGGGTGTGCCTGTAGGGCTGCCCTGCATAGGTCTGGCGGCGGCTTGCTTTGCCTGTGGAGTTGGGGAGCAGATCTCCCCGCAGAGCACTCTGGGCAACGGGGGCCATCACAGCCCTGGGTAGCCCCTGGCCAGTGCCATGCCCTGGCTCAGGTCGCTCAACCAAATGGCGCAGAGCAGAGGCATCACATGACAGGGCTGTGCCCTGATGGTGGGCAGGTGGCCACGCCAGGAGAGCGCCCCCGGGTCCCAGCTGGCCAGGGAACGCATTCAAAGGGCCTCTTTTCAGTGTCACAAGGGAAGCAAATCTCAAAATGACCCGTTTCATGGAATGGAAGGCTGGTCCAGCTAGCCCGAGCTGGGTATGGAACCCCCTCCCCGGCTCTAACCACTAGACCGCACTCCCCTCCCAGAGCCAGGGAGAGAACCCAGGAGTCCTGCGGAAATGGCCTCTGCTGAACGCATGCAGCTGACATGACGTGCCCCAGCCCCACATACTTGCTGGCAGGGTGCCCAACAGAGGGGTCCTGCTTGTCTTCCTTCCGGCCTTTGCTCCGGCTCCTCGTCGCACTGGGACGGCTGGATCCCCAGCCGGGCTCCCCCTGTCTGTCCAGCTCCGAGGGCCGGGTGCTTCTGGGCCCCGAGACTGCAGCTCTCGCATGGGGCGCCTGGCTCGAGGGACTCTGGGAACGGGCCCCTGCTTCCTCCCTGGCCAGGCTTCGGCTCTGCTCCCTGGATGTCCCCAGGGTGGCACTGCCCGGGGATGCGTGGCCGGCCTCCGTCCCCAGAGGAGCCCCGGAGCACGGGGAGCTAAGCCGGCTCTTCCCCGCGTTGGGAGCCCTCTGAGCATCTGTCCCCGGGGTCCAGGAGCTGCTGAGAGACCCTGGCTCAGACCGTCCCACGGCCACTGACACCGTAGCCATCTCCGAAGGGCCAGCAGCCACGGATGCTTTGGATCTTTCTGATGGGCCAGAGGCCACCGAGACACTGAATCGCTTTGGAGAACCTGGAGCTACCGACGCTCTCGATTTTTCCGCAGAATCTAGAGCCACAGGTCTCGATCTTTCTGGAGAGCTTAGAACCACAGAGGCTCTGGACTTCTTGGATGTCTCTCTAGATACATCATCACCCTCCATCCCTAGGGCAGCCACGGCACTGGGGGTCCCAGATTTTCTCGTGGAGCTCCCTGCCTTGCTGCACTCTCTAGATCCCCTGCCTGGCAGGCTCAGTTGGTCCCTCCCTGAGAGCCGGGCGCTGCTCCATGGCTCCAGCTCGGATGGACCCACGGCCACCGACACCGTAGCCATCTCCGAAGGGCCAGCAGCCACTGAGACTCTGGATCTCTCTGAAGGGCCGGCGGCCACTGAGACTCTGGATCGCTCTGAAAGCCTGGCTGCTCCAGAATCTCCAGACACGGCACTGGATCCTGGCTGGCTTGGCCTCCCCATGGGGCTCCGGGAACGGGACCTACCCTGCTCCGTGGAGGGGCTGGCGTGGCCCTGCTGGGCTCGGCTCCTCTCCACACTCAGCTCCCTGGATCTCCTGCCCGGGTCCTTCTCTCCGCCCATCCCCGAGGTCCGGGCACTGCCCAGCCTGGAAGGACCCACTGCTGCCGATGCTGTGGCTACCGCCGAATGCCCCACGCCCACGGAGGCCGTGGCCACTGCTGAGTGCCCCACGCCCACGGAGGCTCTGGATCGCTCAGGGGGGCTGGGAACTGTGGCGGCTCTTGATCTCCCAGACTGCACCTTGGGCAGTGGGCCGCTCTCCCGCTGCGGAGCTGCCCCGGAGCCAGCCGGGCCCTGCACCCTGGTGCTCTCGATAGCTGAGGGTGCCACGGAGCTGGTCTCCTGGCTGCCCGGGACCGACAGCTCCACCACGCCTGAGATGGTGACCCGCTTGGAGGGCTTCGAAGACAGCTGCGTCTTGGCATCTTCCTGGCTCCTTCTCTTTGGGGAGGGAAGTCACAGAGAATCAGACGGGGCTCAGGGCAGTGGATGCCGTGGGGGGGAGGGCTCAGGGCACAGGGTGCCATGGGAGTGAGCACGAGCGCTGCAGGGGATTATGGGGGATGGGAATGGTGCCAGTCCCCCCCCAGCTCACACAGTCCCCTTGCCCCGGGGGCCCTATGTTGGAGGCAGATATGGGCTCAGGCTCCGTGGCCTGCCTGGCCATTCCCCGGGGGAGTTGGGTGGTGCCTGTGGACGGGGATTCAGCCCCAGGGACCAAGGGCCTGCAAAGTCGTCACACTGAAGGAGAATGAATGGAAAGGGGGTGGATCCCATGTGTGATTCACCTGGCTGAGTCCTCCATCCTGCCTCCCATCCAAGGGAGCCCCTGCATTCCCCCACCCATCCTAGCCCCCCGCCTCCTCCCACCCGTCCTCACCTGTCCCCCGCCCATTGCACCCCGGCCCACCAGCGCCCCCTACCTGTCTCAGCTTCCTGCCCGTCAGCTTGTCCAGGGAGTTCGACAGGACACTGTAGATGGTCACGAATGTGAGGCTGCTCCTGTGCCTGGCTGAGGGGTTGACAGAGCAATGAGACACACAGGGCAGCCACATGGGGTGCTGTGGGGCACGGGGCAGGGGTACTGGCTGGAGGGGGGGGCTTCTGGCTACCTGAGCAGGGAGTACTGTGGGGCACGGGGTGGGAAATTCCCTTGCTGTGGGAAGGAGAATTACCTCCGTACCTGAACCCAGGGCCGATTTCAACTTCCCCTTCGACTCCACTCTCTTCTCCCTGCGGAGGAAGATCCACAGTTCAGCTTTGGTGACCTGGGAGCCCAAATATCCTGAGATATTCACATTAGGATCTCGGGTGGGGGTGACGGTACCATCCCCCTCCCACGTCCTGCTCCTCCGGCCCATAGGGATATGGGCCACTGCCTCCTATTTGTAAAGCTCCAGCCCCTGCCCTTTAGGTAAATAGATAATCCCCCTCAGTCTGGAGCAGTATGGTGCATAGGATACGGCGTCAGAGAGATCCAACCGCGGCCAGCAGAGGGCAGACAGTTTGCTTGGGCTCACGCACACACATGGAGCAAGACTCTTCCTCTCCAGCCGGGGGTGACAGGGATACACACATGCACACACAGAGCAGGTTTCATTACATAATAAGGATCCCAAAGCTCCTTAACCAAATTGATTATATGGAGTATAGGAGATCATTTCACTCAGTGCTGAGACGCGGCCCCTCTGGGGTGGGGCACAGGAGATGGTCATACGGGGACCCCTCATCTGGGCCTGGGATGTGGCCTCTCTAGGGTGGGGCATCAGGGCTGATCATACAGGGACCCCTCACCCAGCGTTGGGATGCTGCCCCTCTGGGGTGGGGCACAGGAGATGGTCATACTGGGACCCCTCATCTGAGCCTGGGATGTGGCCTCTCTGGGGTGGGGCATCAGGGCTGGTCATACGGGGATCCCTCACCCGGCACTGGGATGCGGCCCCTCTGGGGCGGGGCCCGGAGGCTGGTGATGTATTTAACCGATACCCCACCTACTTGGACGGCCTCTTGTGGCTGGGGCTGCCGGAGCTGGACCGGGCTTTGCCTTTGCTGCTTTCTCCGACTGTCTCCCTGGATCTCCTGCCCTGTCTCTCGGCTCGATGCAACCCGGAGCTGTTCCGGCTTTTCTGCCCAGAGGGGTCCATGGCCAGGGCCGCTGTGGCGACCTCCGAAGGCCCCACGCCCCCAGAAAGTTGAGATCTCTCCGGAGGTGCAGCAGCAGCCATGGGCGAGCTGGCTGGCTCCGAAAAGCTGGGAGCTCTGGAGCTACTAGGCTGCCCATGGGAGCTGGAGGTCACGGTGGCTCTGGTTGGCCCGGGTGCTGCACTAGATCCATGCTGGCTCCGGGAACAGGAACGGCCCTGCTCCGTGGAGGGGCTGGTGTGGCCCAGCTGGGCTCGGCTCCTCTCCCCAGATCTCCTGTCCGGCTCCATCCCCGAGAGCTGGGTGCTGGCCAGATTGGAAGGACCCACTGCCACTGAAGCAGTGGACGGTAGAGAGTGCCCCACGCCCACGGAGGCGGTGCCCCCCGCCGAGCGCCCCACGCCCACGGAGGCTCTGGATCGCTCGGGGGAGCTGGGAGCCACGGCGGCTCTGGATGCTGCATTAGATCCACGCTGGCTCTGGGAACAGGACCTGCCCTGCTCCATGGAGGGGCTGGCGCAGCCCGACTGGGCTTGTCTCGTCTCCGTGCTGGGCTCCCTGCATCTCTTGCCCGGCTCCATCTCTCTGCCCATCCCCGAGGGCCGGGCGCTGGTCGGCCTGGACGGACCCGCTGCCGCCGAAACCGTGGCCACCGCCGAGCGCCCCATGCCCACGGAGGTGGTGCCCACTGCCGAGCGCCCCACGCCCACGGAGGCTCTGGATCGCTCAGGGGACCCGGGAGCCACGGCGGCTCTGGATGCTGCATTAGATCCACCCTGGCTCTGGGAACAGGACCTGCCCTGCTCCGTGGAGGGGCTGGCGCAGCCCGACTGGGCTTGTCTCGTCTCCGTGCTGGGCTCCCTGCATCTCTCGCCCGGCTCCATCTCTCTGCCCATCCCCGAGGGCCGGGCGCTGGTCGGCCTGGACGGACCCGCTGCCGCCGAAACCGTGGCCACCGCCGAGTGCCCCACGCCCACGGAGGTGGTGCCCACTACCGAGCGCCCCACACCCATGGAAGCGGTGCCCACCGCCGAGCGCCCCACGCCCACGGAGGCTCTGGATCGCTCAGGGGACCCGGGAGCCACGGCGGCTCTGGATGCTGCATTAGATCCACGCTGGCTCTGGGAACAGGACCTGCCCTGCTCCGTGGAGGGGCTGGCGCAGCCCGACTGGGCTTGTCTTGTCTCCGTGCTGGGCTCCCTGCATCTCTCGCCCGGCTCCATCTCTCTGCCCATCCCCGAGGGCCGGGCACTGGTCGGCCTGGACGGACCCGCTGCCGCCGACACCATGGCCACCGCCGAGCGCCCCACGCCTACGGAGGCGGTGCCCACAGCCGAGTGCCCCATGCCCACGGAGGCTCTGGATCGCTCAGGGGAGCCAGGAGCCATGGTGGCTCTAGACCTGGCACTAGATCCACGCTGGCTCGGGGTTCCTGCCGGGCTCCGGGAACCAGAGGGGATGGCCAGGCTCAGCTGGCCACGGTTCCTCTCTGCGCTCAGCTCCCTGGACATTGGGCCCTGCTGGGGAGGGACCCTGGAGTAACGGCAGCTCTAACCACCAGAGCCCCCTCCCATCCCAGAATCAGGGAGAGAACCCAGGTGTCCTGGCTCCCAGCCCCCCCTGCTCTAACCACTAGACTGCACGGACACCTGTCCTGCAGACAGCGGCTGCATCACCCCTTGCTCAGCAACACCCCCTAGGCCCCATGAAGAGCAGGGCAGACGGGGAACCCCTCTGGGTTAGTGATGGGGGGGTCTGGTTGGGGGAGATACCCTTTCCCAGCGTGCCCCCCCTTCCCGGGAGACGTGGGTCCGCTGCCCAAGGCACAGCCCCCCTCAGCCCCCTAGGTTAAGGGTTGCCACCCCCACCTGTCAGCCCTCACCTGTGTCCAGGGGCTGGTGACCTCTGCCCGGGACCCAGAAAGTCCATCAAGGAGTTTGGGGGAGCGTCTCACCAGGGCTGCTGGGAAACAGGATGGGAGTGAGGGGCTGGGAGCCAGGAGGGCTCCTGGCTGCCCCAGCCCCACCTATGCCAGTAGGGGGCGCTGTGGGAGCGTCCTGATTCCTGTGCCAGCCTGTGCAGTACCTACCTATGCTGGGCGATGTGGAGCATGTGGGCCCCTGTCCCCCTACTCTCCGCCTGCAGAGAGAGAGCCCAGATCAGAACCGCCCAGCCCATGGGGGAGGAGGGACGGCAGGGGCAGCCCCCTAGGCCAGGTGGGATCCACCTACAGAGTCCCCGCAAAACCTCCCTGATCTTCAGGGAATGGGGTCCCCCTGCATCCCAGCCCCTGCCCCTCCATGCTTCCCTGCACTGCGGGCTCAAGAGAGACATAGGGGATCTATCAGCTGGAAAGACCTCCCTGTTCTCATCACTAGCCCCCACTTCCCCTCCCAGAGCTGGGGAGAGAACCCAGGAATCCTGGCTCCCAGCCCCCGCACCCCACAGCCTCCGGCTGGCCCAGCAGTACCTACGTGGAGGGTTGCTGCCCCGTGGTGGGGCTGGCCGGATGCTGCCTTCCTCTCAGCTGCCCCTGGCTGGGGGTCCGGCTCCCACTGCCTGGGGGCTCCCCAGGTTGGGGTATCAGGGCCCTGGGCTCCTCCTCCTCCTGGATGGGCCGCAGCTGCTGGCTATGGGGTGGCTGGAGAGATGGGGGAGCAGCGATGGAGAAATGGGGTCAGCCCAGCAGAACAGGATCTGCCCCCCACTCTGTGCCCCCATTCTGCCCTTCACTCCAGACACTGGCCCCTGCCCACTCCCCAGCCACTGATGCCATGCCCCTCACCCCCCACGCTGCCCAGCCAGGTCCCCCTGGTGTCCAACATCCCCCCATCCTCTGCCCCCTCCAGCCCATACACCTCACGCCCGCCCCGTGCCCATTCCGCCCTGCCCCGGCCTGTGCCCCCCCCGCTGCCCCCAGCTGACCTTGGCACTGCGCCCACGCAGGTTGGAGGTGTGCCAGGAGGGGATGCTGGCCCAGCTGTCCGGGGGGGCCCTCAGCAGGTAGATGAGCCGCAGCCAGCGTGCAAAGAGCGGGCGCTCCTCCCCCCGGGGGGCGCAGAGCTTCAGGTAGTAGACGCGCCCCGTGGCCAGACGCAGCTTCAGCCGCTGCTCCCCCATGTCGTGCAGGTAGAGGCTCACCAGCTCCAGTGGGATCAGCCTGCCAGGGGCGGCGGGTCAGCTGGAGGCCTGGGTTCCAGCCCCATTCGGGGAGGGGGCCTAGTGGTTAGAGCTGGGGGGGGGGCTGGGAGCCAGGATTCCTGGGTTCTTTCCCTGGCTCTGGAAGGGGAGTGGGGTCTAGTGGTTAGAGCAGGTAGGCCCGGAATCTGTTCACACAGCACTGAGATGCAGCCACCTCTGGGGTGGGCCACCAGGGCTTTTTCTGCCCCTGAGTCACAAACCAGGCCCCTTCAGCTTTTTTGGCCTGGCTGCTAGACAGAGCCCTACAGCACGGTGCCCCCTAGCACCACCCTGGGGCATTGAGCCCTGACTGCTGGGAAGGGTGCCCCCTGCTGGCACTCACCGGGTCAGCTCCAGCTCTGGTGGGGCGTGTGCTGTCCTGGGGCCCAAAGGCTCCCCCTGGGGCCTCTCCATGGGGCGGGCGATGATCATAACGTCGGGCAGGAGCAGGGCGGGGCTGGTGGCGGCGATGCCCAGGGTGACCAGGCTGGCGCGGTTGTGCAGATCCACCAGCTCGCCCCGCTTGGTCACCTGCAAGGCAGGGGGCGGGGGTGGGGATTAGTGGGGGGTGCCAGGCACCAGCCCCCCAGCTGGAGCACACACCCCTTTCCCCAGGCAGCAGGACTAGAACCCATGGCTCCCGGTCCCACCAGGGAGAGGCCTTGGCCGTGGGCCTGACGGAGCCCAGCCAAGGTGCAGGGAGGGGATTGCAGTTGCTGGGCAAGGAGCAGCTGAGAGAGGGCGCCCGGGAGCTGCCCTGCTTCCCCCCCCCCAGCAGGGGGCAGCATTCACCTGCAGGAAGTTGCTCTCGAAGAGGGGGGTGGGCTGCAAGGGGTTGTACTCCCCCCGCCCCAGCAATCTCTGCAGCTCCCCGATGATCGGGATCCAGCCAGCGAAGGCGAAGTCGCTGATGCATTCGGGGAAGGGGCGCGGACTCCTCCGCACGATGCCTGGGTGGGGGAGTCAGTGAGAGGAGAACCCAGGAGTCCTGGCTCTCAGCCCCCCCGCTCTAACCACTGGACACCACTCCGCTCCCAGAGCCAGGGAGAAAACCAGGCATCCTGGCTCCCAGCCTCCCCACCCCAACTCTGACCATTAGACCCCACTCCCCTCCCAGAGCCAGGGATAGAAATCAGGCATCCTGGCTCTCAGCCCCCCTGCTCTAACTACTAGATCGCACTCATCTCCCAGAGCCAGGGAGAGAACCCAGGAGTCCTGGCCCCCTTACACACCAGTCCCCATCCTCAGCCCACCTGGTGGATACATCAGCATGGCCAGCTAGCTGGGTCAGGGCTGGCTTGTTGAGGCTGGGGGTCCCAGGAGGCCGAGACCATGGGGCATGTCACAGCAGCAGCAGGAGCCTGTGGCTGCCAGCACCCAGGGGCCCATGGCCCCAGTGCAGGGTGCTCCCAGCATCACTGCCCCATGCTGCTCTGGGCCGGCCCGGAACCTCTGACCCGGGGCCTGGCATTGTGATATCAGCAGGCTCCTCCCCGCCGCAAGGCCTCCTTGGGCCCCCATCACCATGGCCTCTGGGTGCCTCACAAGCTGCAGGCTATTTACCCACCACCACCCACAAGGCAGGGCAGGGCTGCTTTACCAATTATAGGAATGGGGAAACTGAGGCCCAGACAGGCTAAGTGACCAGCCTGGCTGGGCAGGGAATTCAGTCTGGTGGTGTCCCATGGCCCAAGTTAGTGTCCAGAAAAACAGGGATAGCCCTCCCTCTGGGCTGGGAGCCAGGACACCTGGGTTCTCTCCCCAGCTCTGGGAGGGGAGTGGGGATTAATGGTTAGAAGGTGGTGGGGCTGGGAGCCAGGACTCCTGGATTCTCCCCCTGGCTCTGGGAGGGCAGTGGGATCTAGTAGTTAGAGCGGGGGGAGGGGCTGGGAGCCAGGGCTCCTGGGATCTCCCCCCAGCTCGGGGAGGGGAGGGAATTGGGATGGGGGGTGGGGGACAGCCAGGACTCCCGGGTTGTCTCCGGGGGGGGTTTCACCCATGCTGGGTTTATAACATTGAGCAGCCCGTACCTGTTAGGAATGGGTTAAAAGCAACCTCCACCGGGCCTTCCCCAGAGTCTGGGCTCTCATTGGCCGGACAGGTAAAGGTGAGCAGGAAGTGGGGGGCGTTCCGCACATCTGATTGGATAAGCACACCTGGGGGCGGGGTTTAGGGGTAGGCAGGGTCTCCTTTGATCTCAGCAGGTAGAGCGAATCTGAGTGACCCGGGTGACTGAGCCAGGCCCCGCCCTCTATTGTGTTTGTGTGGGGGGAGGGCTGGGAGCCAGGACGCCTGGGTTCTCTCCCCAGTACTGGGAGGGGAGTGGGGCCTAGTGATTGGGGGGGGGGGGGGAGTCAGGAATCCTGGGTTCTCTCCCCGGCTCTGGGAGGGGAGTGGGGTCTAGTGGTTAGAAGGGGCGGGGTGCTGGAAGCCAGGACTGGGGGGGCCGGCTCTGGGAGGGGAGTGGGGCAGGGGGGGGGGGGGAGGGAAGGGGCGGGGTGCTGGAAGCCAGGACTCCTGGGTTCTCTCTCCAGCTAGGCGTGACCGTCCCAGCCGCGCCCATCAGCCTGTGGCCGGCAGGGAAGGGTTAACCCCGGGCAGGGAGCGATACCTGCTGGGTCCCGCCCTGCCCTGTTCTCAGCGCACCTGACCGCGGCCTCCCAGCCCGGGGCCTTGCTGGGTCTGTGCCCCCCCACGCCGGACCCCTCACCCCCTCGGGAGCTGCCCCCCCCCACCGCCATGGCCTCGGGGGGGCTGGGCCGGTGCCGCCTGGCGCTGGGCCTGGCGCTGCTGCTGGACGGGGCGGGCATGGGGGCGCTGCTGACGGGCATCTTCGCCCGGCTGCGGGTGCGGGGCCAGGACTTCGGGGACCTGCTGATCTACTCGGGGGCGGTGCTGGTCTTCCTGAGCCTGCTGGGCTGGGTGCTCTGGTACACGGGCAACCTGGAGCTGGCGCCCGAGGAGCTGGGGCGCGACTACGCCGCCAAGGGGGGCACCCTGGCCCGCCTCGCCCGCAAGCTCTCCCGCCGCTGGTCCCGGCGCCAGCCCGGCCCGCTGGCCCTGGGCCCCGTGCGCGGGAGCCAGGGGCCCCCGACCCGGGAGACGATCTAGAGGTAACCCTGCCCCCTGTGCCCCCCAAATCCTGTCCCCACCGCCCTGCTCCCTGTGTCCCTAAGCCCTGCCTCCAATCCTTGCACCCCCTGTACCCCCAAACCCTGTCCTCTCTGCTGTGCCCCCCAAGCCCTGCCCCCTGTGCCCCACAAATCCTCTCCCTGCCGCTCTGCCCCCCAAGCCCTGCCTCCAATCGTTGGATCCCCTGTGCCCCCCCAAGCCCTGTCCCCGACCCCTCTGCGCCCAAGCCCTGCCTCCAAACCTTGCACTCCCTGCCCCCTGTGCCCCCAAACCCTGACTCCAAATCTTGCACCCTTGTGCCCCCCAAGCTCTGCCCTGCCCCTCGGACCCCTCCAAACCCTGCCCCCGACCCTGCCCACATTGCCCTACTCCCCAAACCCTGCCCCTTGCGAAAGGGCTGAGAAGGAACACCAACCTCCCCTCCCCCACCAGCACAGCGTCCCCTAGTGCCATGTTCCCCCCACCCAATTCAAGCACCCCCCCCCCCCGCAGCTTATGACCAACTGTCTGTCTCTTCCAGATGCCTCTTGGGACGGAGCCCTGTGGGGGGGCAAGTCAGATGGGGGATCCGTCTGGGACCAGCACCCCCCACCCCCTCACCGATCCGAGAGCACTCACAGGGCTGCGAGACAGACAGACCGAACTGGCCCCAGGACAGAGACACCCAGCCCCTGCGCTCGGGGGCCGCGTATCTGGGGACCCCTCGCCCGGCGCTGGGATGGCAGAGCTTGGCGGGGTGCTGGCTCTCCTGACCTGGCAGAGGTGCATCTGTCTGTCCATCTGTCCATCGCAGGGAAGTTTCATTTGTATTTAAAACACTTTGTGTCTCAGGCCCTCTGTTCTGTGCTTCCTTGTCCTACGTCACATGCTGCGGAGTGGGGTCTAGTGGTTAGAGCGGGGGGCTGGGAGCCAGGACTCCTGGTTCTCTCCCCAGCTCTGGGAGGGGAGTGGGGGCTAGTGGTTAGAGGGGAAAGGCCCTGTGTCCCATACCTCTGCTCTGAGCCAGCCAGTCTCCACCCTGGGGCCTGATGGGAGCCGGCACCCTCTAGAGGGGAAAGGCCCCATGCCCCATTCCCTGCCCCCATTCTGGGGTGGAGCACAGGGGCTGTGTTTTCAGGGATCCGGATGGGGGAAGAGAATGTGGGGGCAGCATGTGTCCCCCAGCTGATTTGGAAAGAAGTGGAAAAAATTAACCCTTTATTGTGTGAGGGGTGCAGCAGTCCAGGTGGGGGTGGGGCAGCTGCCCCCCAGCCTGTCCCTACTCCCCCACTTCTTTTGGCTCTTCCTCCCTAGGCTCCATCCTCTCCTCTTCCTCCTGGTCACTCTCCTCCAGCAGCTTCATCAGATAATCAGCCAACTCTGCATCCGACTTTGACTTTGGTTCCCCCGCCTCCTTCCCTGCTGCCCGGCTGCCCTTCAGCCTGCTGTGGGGAGCAGAGAGACAATGGGGGGCTGGGAGCCAGGACACCTGGGTTTTCTCCCTGGCTATGGGAAGAGAGTGGGGACTAGTGGTTAGAGCTCGGGGGGTGAGCCAGACACCTGGGTTTTCTCCCAGCTATGGGAGGAGAGTGGGGCCTAGTGGTTAGAGCCGGGGGGCGGGGGAGAGACAACTGGGTTCTCACATGGGAGGGAAGTGGTTTGGGGTATCTAGTGACCCAAATGGGAAAGGCCCCATGTCCCATTCCCCACCCCCCTGAGCCAGCCAGTCCTTGCCCTGGGGCTGGATGGGAACTGGTGCCCCCTAGAGGGGACAGGCCCCAGGTCCTTTGCTGGGCTCAGCCATTGAGCTCTCAGCCAAGACTGGGGTGTGGGGAAAGCTGGCTCGCTTCCAGCGCTGAGGCTGGAGGACCCAGGAGTCCGGGTGGAGTGTGCTCATGGGATGCTCCAGCCACCTTACCGCAGGGCTCCAGTTCCCTCCCCCTCCTCCCTGGGGACATGGAGCCTGGGGTGGTTCTGCTCCAGCCGGTACCTACCAGGCGACGCAGATGCAAAGGAACAGCCCGGCGGCCCCCACGCAGATCCCCCCCAGGATCCCGGCATTCCGGCGCTGGCGGGGCGCTGCCAAGGAAAGGGAGGGTTGGGGCAGCTCGGCATCCACCAGCCGCCTCTGGGGCGGGGCTGCGGCTGGCTGTCGGGTAGGGCACACGGTGGCTGGTTATAGGGGGACCCTTCGCCTGGCACTGAGGGGCGCCCTGGGGGCACGAGCCCCAGGCGGGGATGCGGCCGGCTCTGGGGTGGGGCGCGGGGAAGGCGGCCGGCTGGGGGGTGGGGCGGCCGGCTGCGGGAGGGGGGTGACCGGCTCTGGGGGGCGCTCACCATCGGTGGCACGGTGGTAGCAGGTGCCGTTGGCATGGCAGCATCTCCTCTCCAGACACTGGCTGGGGTAGAACCTCTCGGGGTTGCCGCCGCAGGGCTTCCGCAGGGAGGGGGACTGAGCGCAGGCTGGGGGGGACACCCCTGTTAGTGCCAGCTGCCTCCCGCCCCCCCCCCATCCTCCCAGGCCCCTTGTCCCTCCACTGGCCCACTTTGAGGTCCAGGTCATTCTTTGTGTCCCCCCCCAGGGGGCACCCTTGGTCTGCTCTAGCCCAGAGCAGGGGATGTGGGGCGGCCGGGGGAGGGGGGGGCACAATGGGGGGATTCAGTGGGGCTGAGGAGTAGGGAAGGGAAGCAGATGGGAGTTGTGGGCAGTAAATGTGGGGGTGGGCCTGTGGGGCAGCAGGGAGGGAGGGGATGAGGTGGCGGGGAGGGGCAGTTACTTACTCAGGGGTCTGAAGAAGCTGCCTATCCCTGTGGCACCTGTTAGGGGGAGGGGCAGAGTTGAGACTGGCCCCGATCCTTTCCGGCCGCCTCGGTCCCCCCATCCCCTCTCGCTCGTCCCTTCCCCACTCTCCCCTTTGGGGCTGGGGGCCGCCCTGCACAGGTTCCCCGGCTGCCTCCCCCCTCCCATACTGGCCCCCAGGCTGGGAGCTGCGGGGTCCTGCAGGGACCAGTGCCTCATGCTGCCATCCCGGACACCTGGGTCCCATCCCTAGGGGCCAGCCCCCCACTCACCAGCCCCCCCGACACTCAGCGCCAGCAGGAGGCAGAGCAGAGGCAGGGGCGGGCGGGGGCCAGAGCCCGTCTTCATTCCAAGCCCTTCGCGGGCGGGGCAGGGACGGGGGTGGGGGCAGCTCCCTTCCCGTGCCAGGAGCGCCCCCTGCAGGGAGCACACGGCAAAGACCCTCAGCGCCGGGCAGTCAGGCTGTGGGCACCAGGGGGCGCCAGGAGGCGGGGCAGGGCCAGGGGCCTGGACAGAGCCCGGGGCGGCTCCACCGTTCTGGAACCCACCTCACAGAACCCAGGCGTTCTAGAGCCCCCAGGAGACCGGGGCCTGGGCGTGGGGGGCTGGGCTGGCAGGGGGCTGCAGGTCGAGAGTGAGGGGCGCTGGGGGGGCTGAGGGGAAGCAGCTCACAGACCTGGGGGCAGATGGGAGCTGGCGCCCCCTAGAGGGGAAAGGCCCCGTGTCTCATTCCCTGCCCCCCTGAGCCAGCCAGACCCCCGCTCCCCTGCCAGGGGAGATGCTGGGGGCAGTGTCCGGCCTTCGCCCCTTTCTCAGCCTCGGGGACATTTGGGGCCATTAACTGCCCCCCCCAACCCAGAGCCGCCGCGTCTCAGGTGATGAACTCACAGGATTTCTGGGAACCTGCAACTGCTGAACGGGATCCCGGATGCAGACCCGCCGGCGCCCCTCACTCCTGCCCCCCTGACACCCCCCCAGCCCCGCTGGTGCCCCTCACTCCTGACCCAGAGCCTCCAGCCCCCCTGGCACCCCCCCAGCACCGCCAGTGCGCTTCACTCCTGACCCTCAGGCCCCCTGGCACCCCCCCCAGCGCCCCTAACTCCCAGCGCCCCTAACTCCCAACCCCCCTGGCACCCCCCTCGCCCTGCTGGTGCCCCTCAATCCTGACCCCCAGCCCCCCCTGGCGCCCTCCAGCCCCGCAGTGCCCCTCACTCCCATCCCCCTGCCCCCAGCCCCTCTGGCACCCCCCCCAGCCCCGCTGGTGCCCCTCACTCCTGACCCAGATCCTCCAGCCCCCCTGGCACCCCTCCCAGCCCCGCTGGTACCCCTCACTCCTGACCCAGAGCCTCCAGCCCCCCTGGCACCCCCCCAGCCCCGCTGGTGCCCCTCACTCCTGACCCAGATCCTCCAGCCCCCTGGCACCCCCCCAGCCCCGCTTACCCCTCACCCTACAAGCCTCCAGCCCCCCACCTCCCCACCCCCACCTCACCCTTACCCAGAGCCCCCCACCCCCACCCCCTCACTCCCAACCCCCTCACCCCCCATCTGTCCCCTCACCCCCCCCCAGCCCCCTCCCCTCACTCCTACCCAATCCTCCACCCCTCTCACCCCCCAGCCCCACTGCCCCTCACTCCTACCCCCAGCCACCCCCCCCTCCACCCCCACCCCTCACTCCCATCCCCCTCCCCCAGCCCTCGGCACCCCCAGCCCGCTGGCCCCTCACTCCTGACCCAGATCCTCCAGCCCCCGGCACCCCCCAGCCCCGCTGGCGCCCCTCACTCCTGACCCAGAGCCTCCAGCCCCCCTGGCACCCCCCCAGCCCTGCTGGTGCCTCTCACTCCCCCCCGGCAGCCCCCTGCTAGCCCAGCCTGGCCTCCCCACACCACTCACAGACCGGGATATTTTGGCCTCTTTCCAGGGGTTTACCTGGGGCCCTACGCTAACAAACCAAACGCGTGTCCCGGCTGTCTGTCTATCCGTCCGTCCCTCCCCAGCACGGACGCTGCCGCCTCCCCCCCCCCCCCCCCGCGCCCCAAGAAACCAACCCCGAACCAGCCCCCGGTCCTCTCGCGCAGGCTGCGGCTCCAGGTTGCAGCCACCAGAGGGCGCCGCTTGCTCCTTTTTCCCAGCCGCTCCGCGGCCGAAGCAGACAACACAACACAACACAACACAACACCCACCTTCTGCACCCCCAGGGGGCGAAAGCCGTCTCCTTTGCAATCCGCGATCCAGCCCGGCTCGCTTCTCATGGCGGGACCGTAGACCAAGCCCTGTTGTGTTGAGTTGTGTTGTGTGCAGTTTGTGAAGGGTATTTTGGAAGGGGAGGGTCAGTGAGCAGGGAAGAGCCTGCACAACACCAATTTGTGTTGTGTTGTGTTGTCTGGATCCCTGCTAAAGCGCTGTGCGTGGGTGGAAAGCCCCGGCCCCAAGCCGAGTTGTGTTGTCTTGTGGTTGGTGTTGTGTTTGACCTGAAGTTGTCCCATGTGGTGCTGTGTGGCTGGTGAGCGGCCTCTTCACCAGGGGTACGGTGGCTTGCGTCGGTCCCGGGTTGCGCTGTTGTTGTGTTGAGACGTCCTGTATCACCTTCTGTTGTATTGTGTGTGGTGCTGGCTGGGTTGTCTTGCATTGTGCATGATGTTGTGTTGTCTTGCTTTGTGTTGCACCCTCTATTGTATTCTGTTGCATTGTAGTTACATCCATGTGTTGTTGTCTTGCTTTGTGTTATGCCTCTGGGTTGTGTTGCATCTGTATGTTGTCCTGCGTTGTGTTGCATTGTGTTGCTGCAGTGTGTTGAATGCCATTGTGCTGAGTTGTGTAACCTTTCATAACACTGGCTGTGCTGTGTGTACTTGGCAGCATTGTTTTCTGTTCCACTGAGCTGTTGTGTTGTGTCTTGGGTTCCCTTGTATCACACCACGTTACATTGTATTTCAGTGTGGCACATTTGGTTGTGGGACAGTATGTGGTCTTCTCCTACCCTGTGTTATGTGACATTGGATTGTGTTGTTTCCCAGTGGGCAGTGCTGTGTTGAGTTGCATTATGGTCTGTTGTTTCCCACTGGGTAGTTCTGTGCTGTGTTGTGTTGTGTTGCATTGTGCAGCGCTGTGTTCTGGTGCATTATGTTTCATTGCATGCAGTGCTGTGTTGTGTTGTTTCTCACTGTGCAGTGCTGTGATGCGTTGCATTGTGCAGCGTTGTGTTGAATTGTGTTGTGTTGTGTTGCATGCAGCGCTGTGCTGTGTTGTTTCTCACTGTGCAGCGCTGTATTGAGTCGCATTGTGTTCCATGCAGCGCTGTGTTGTGTTGCATTGTGTGTCTGTAACTCTGCCCAGCGCCCCCCCCAGCTCCTCTCTGAACCTCAGAATGGTTCCAGCAGTGAAATGGGGGGGAGCCTTTCTGTGGGGGGGGCACTGGCCCCAAGAGGCCTGTGGAGGGTGCTATGTGGGATCCCCAACCCCAGGGGAAGCTGAGCCCCAGAAAGGGGGAACATAGCCTAGGGGGGTGACTCAGCCCCCGCCAGTCAGGAGCACGTGACCTCCATGCCCCCCATGGCCGAACAGCCCCCCAGGGTAATCGGGGCCACTTGGGGTCTCTGGGCTCATATGGATCCCAGGAGTCTGGGGGGGTTGGAGTGGGGGGGCACCCCCAGAGCTGATTCAGTGTCTGGGATCCCCCCAGTGTATTTCGGGATGGGGGGCTGAGGATCCAAATGCCCCAGATCCCCCCTTGCTCCCCAGGCTCTGAGCTCATCTGGCGTCCTGCCCTCCCTGAGGTGGGGCAGCGTGGGGCTGGCGGGGGGAGCCCAGGGCTTTGGGGTGGCCTCGGCGTCATGTCTCAGGCTGGCCACAAACCCGCCAGGGCAGGGCAGCCAGGGCCACCGAGGGGGGAGAGGCAGCCACAAAGCCCTGGCAGGGTCAGCCGGCGGGTGGGGGGGCCGGCTGGCTGGAGGGGGGGGGTGGCTCCTGGCTCCCACAGCCCCACCTCTCCCAGCAGGGGGCGCTGTGGGATGGTGGGGGCGGGCGGGGGGAGTTGTCGGGTACAGTTCAGCCGCGTTTCCACGCTCCTGCAGGTCCAGGATGGGGCAGGACTCCTGGGTTCTCTCCCCGCCCCGGGGAGGGGAGTGGGGTCTAGGGGTTGGAGCACGGGGGGCTGGGAGCCAGGACTCCTGGGTTCTCTCCCTGGCTATCTGCTCAGTTTCCCCACCTGCGTCCAATCTTTCCCAGCCAGAAGATCCCAGCGTGAAATGACCCAGCGCAGCCAGAACGAGTCATCGGAGCCAGGAGGGCAGCGCCCGCCCTGCCCCTGCCCCTGCCTGCCAGCTGCTGCCGGCTTCCCCCAGCCTGTCTGGGATCCCCCCGGCCCCCGCCGGGGCTGGAGCCACGGGGGCCTGGGGCTGCCACGGGGGCCCGATCCCCAGCCTTGCCCCGGCTTGCTGCCTCGTGTGCCAGGCACCCCCGCCCGGAGCGACCAACCGCCCCCTGGGCACCCCCCTCCCTGTACAACCCCCACCCCATACAGCCCCCATCCCATCACCCCACCCCATACAGCCCCCAACCCATTCAGCCCCCTGCCCCATCACCCCACCCCGCACAGACCCCACCCTATATAGCCCCCACCCCGTACAGCCCCCTTTCATAGACAACTGCCCCGCCAGCCATCCCCACGCAACCCCCCCACCATCCATCGATCCATCCAAACCCACCCTTCTCTCTCTCTCTCACTTTATGGCCTCCAATCGATCCTGCTGTCCTGCCCCCAGTCCCAAGGCAGGAGTTGAGGGGCGGGGGGGGGGAGATCAGACGTGGCGCTCGGGGGTGTCACAGGGAGACAGGGCACCCCAGGGCTGGGGGATCCCTCGCCGTCTGGCTCAGTGGCCTTGCGATCGGGGTATTCCCTCCCCCTCCCCCCACTGCCCCCTTTTACCCACACCGCACCCAAGCCCCGAATCTGCTTTGTCTGGGGGGTGGCTGGGGCAGTTCCAGTCATTCCCCTCCCCACCCCCCGACCCAAGCTGGCTTGTGCTGGGCAGGGATGGGGCCCAGCAGCCGGGATCTATGGGGTGCTGCTCAGTACGAGGTGACCCCAAAGCAATGGGGGTGTGGGGGGAGGCGGATCAAGCCCATCACCCAGAATCCTTTGCAGAAACCCCTGCAAGGAAAGGCCTTGGCCACTTCTTGCAAAGGATTCTGGGAGGAGTCCTCCACTAGAGAACAGTGACCTCTGACCCCCCCAGTGACCCCCAGACTTTGGGCCTAGAGTGCATGACCCTTGACTTCCACATGACCTTTAACCTATACCATGAACCCTGACCCCATAGTGTCCCCTGACCCCTCACTGTGACCCCTACATCTGGGCCTATAGCAGTAAGTGGATAGGCCCCATTGTGAACTCTGACCCCCATAGTGACCCCCCCAACCCCCCATTATGACCCTGAGCCTATAGTGCAGATGTACGTGACCCCTGACCTCCCCATGACCCATGACCCCTGCCAGACAGATGCCAAGCTGAGGCAGGGTTCGCTGATGCAGTGGTTGAAAAAAGAGAAGCTGCCTGGGCCCCCGTCTGTTTTGGGGATCCCCTCGCCGGGATCTGCCCTAGGGTTCCCCTCAACCCCTCCAATGCCCACAATCCCTGGCGTTCACTGCCCGACAGCTCGCCAGGCTCGCCAAAGGGAGGGGCTTGGGCACCATCCCCCTTGCACACATGTGGGGAAACTGAGGCACCCAGCAAGGAAGGGACCTGGCCAAGGTCACCAACTGGAGCTGGGATAGAACCCAGGCGTCCTGAGGCCCAGGCCGGTGCTTGGCCCACTAGGGCACAGGACCCATGTGACTGACACACAGGGCAGGGCCCAGCCCCTCCAGCAGGGACACACACACACACACACACAGAACAGGGCCCAGCTCAGGGGTGGGCAAACTTTTTGGCCTGAGGGCCACATCGGGGAATAGAAATTGTACGGCGGGCCATGAATGCTCCCAAAATTGGGGTTGGGGTGGGGAGGCAGTGAGTGCTCTGTTTGGGGGTCCAGGAGGGTGCTCTGGGCTGGGACTGAGGGGTTTGGAGGGAGGGAGGGATCAGGGCTGGGGCAGGGGGTTGGGGCATGGGGTTAGGCTGAGGGGTGCAGGCTCTGAGCAGCGCTTACCTCAAGCAGCTCCCGGAAGCAGCGACATGTCCCCTCTCCGGCTCCTAGGCGGAGGCGCGGCCAGGCGTCTCTGCGCCCTGCCCCGTCCGCAGGTACCCCCCCCAAAGCTCCCATTGGAGCACCAGAGGGGGCCACTGGAGCGCGTAGGAGCCGGAGGGGGGCCGAGCCATGTTGTGCCCACCCCTGGCCCAGCCCCTCCAGTAGGAGGCAGCAGGGACACACACACACACACACACGTGGCGTGTGTCCGTGCCCCTGGCTCCCAGGCTGCCGTGCTGCGTGTGTGTGTCAATGTCTCCGTGTGGATCACTGCCCCCTCTGTCTGTGCGGACGCACTCCCCCCCCGCCCCCCCCCCGGCTGCCCGTGCGCCCGGCCAGACCGCGGCCCGGGCCCGGTGCCAGCCCCACCGCACTGCGGCCGCCTGGGCCTGCCGTGACACGGGACGTTTGCGTCACAGGCTGGCCCCATGCAGGGGGACCCCGGCTTCCTGTGTACTCAGCGGGGGTGTGTGTGTGTGTGTGTGGTGTGCGAGCGAGCGGGTGCAGACGGGCGGGGGGCGAGGATATGAGCCATGTGTTTGTCTAAGCCCCAGCACAGGCCTGCAGCTGTCCCAGGAATCTGTGTGTCAGGGCAGACCCGACTCCTTTGTCATTTGAGCTGGGGGCGGTTGGGGGGGGCCGGGCTAGCAGGGGCTGCGGGTCGGGAGTGAGGGGCACCGGCAGAGCTGGGTGGGGGGAGCCCAAGGCCGGGCTAGCAGGGGCTGTGGGTCGGGAGTGAGGGGGCACTGGCAGAGCTGGGGGTGCAGGGCCGGGCTAGCAGGGGCTGCGGGTCGGGAGTGAGGGGCACCGGCAGAGCTGGGTGGGGGGAGCCCAAGGCCGGGCTAGCAGGGGCTGCGGGTCGGGAGTGAGGGGCACAGGCAGAGCTGTGGGGGGGAGCCCAGGGCCGGGCTAGTAGGGGGCTATGGGTCGGGAGTGAGGGGCACGGGCAGAGCTGCGAGGGGGAGCCCAGGGCCGGGCTAGCTGGGGCTGGGGGTCGGGAGTGAGGGGTTGGGTTGCCTGCCAGAGGCCCGTCTGACTCATGCCTCTAAGCCAGACCCGGCTGGGCCAGTCGCCTGCACCTGCAGCCGCTTCCTGGTAATTGTCCCCCTGGGGGGTGGTGCAAGACTGAACCCCCCCCACCACAAGCCGGCCTGGGACTCCTGCATTTCATCCCTTGCATCAGCGGAGCCAGCCCGCCCCCCTGCATCCCAGGCGAGGAGCAGCCTCCCCCAACCCAGCATAGCCGGGGACCGGGTCCTTGCAGCCTGACCAGACCCGAGCCATATGTGTGTGTGGGGGGGGGGGGGGGGGTTGGGAGGGTGCGGGGGGGGGTCCCTGCCGCCCCCTGCTGGAGGGGCTGGGCCCTGCTCTCTGGGTGTGCGTGAAATCTCGGGCCCTGCACTGTGTGGGAGGGTCCTGGATTTGTGTGGCGGGGGAACCTGAGTCCAGGGGGCTTGTGCACGGCCCGTGCAAGGTTCCCGTGCGGCAGGGGTGATGTCACTGGGGCAGGGTGGGGTGTATTGTAGTGATAATATTGTGTTGGTGCCTTGTACAGCATCCCATTCGGCTGCATTGTGGCCTGTATTGTTTGGTGGGATTGCGTTGTGTTCTCCTGCATTATTGCCCTGGGTGACGTTGTGTTGCATCGCGCAGCACTTTATTCAACTGCTTCTACCGCACGGCGTCCTACCGGATCCCGTTCTCCGGCCCGGCAGCAGGTTCTACCGCACGGCATCCTACCGGATCCCGTTGTCCGGGACAGTGGCTTCTACCGCACGGCGTCCTACCGGATCCCGTTCTCTGGGACAGTGGCTTCTACCGCACGGCGTCCTACCAGATCCCGTTCTCCGGCCCGGCAGTGGCTTCTCTCCCACTGTATTTCACTCTCGTTTCGGGAGTTTTATAGATGGCGGATTCTGTTCCGTGACATTTGATTGTCTTGTTGTTGCTCGCATTATATTCTGTGGCATTTCACTGGTTCTCAAACGTTTGTCCTGGCGACCCCTTTCACACAGCTAGCCTTTGAGTGCGACCCCCCGGTACATTAAAACCCCCTTTGTTTATATGTAACTCCATTATAAATGCTAGAGGCA